TTTTAAAAGATAACTGATTCATTAAATACACTGAAAGCTCGCTCTTACTGAACTTCAGTGGCCATCTGGTGTAAACACAGCACAAGACAAGTGACTCAAATTTTACAAAGGAAAAAAATCTGAGCTGAAATCTTTTATCATCTGCAAATCAGTAGGCAAATATGCTGCACTGAACAGCGCTTTGTTTTGGAAAGTTAAAAAAGAATGAATCAGCTAGATAAACTACCTATCTAGGTAATTACCTAGTAAGGTAACTAGGTTTAAAAATTAAAAATCCATAACATAGAATAGGTCATGACATCCAGAATCAACTGCTATGAATGCACGATGCAAACTAAAAAGATTAAATGTAATTTTTAATGCAAGAATTTTGTTCCTAGCAAGCAGTATTACTGCTCTAAACCCACAGTTCTATGGAGGCTCTCCCCTCCATGCGTATTCTCCCAAGTGCTCAAATATACAGTGGTAGGAACCAATTCAGCCAGATTTTTTTCCTGTATAGTTCAGGATTCTGAAAATTTAAAAACAAAAACTGAAATTATCAAACTAGCTCCTATAAGACATTCATATAACACTCTTTTAAAATGGTTACTTGGCAAGTTGATATCTGGATTTTCCAGCTAATTTCATCTATTCTAAATATCCGTACATAACGTTTCTCTAAACCCAAATAAGAGATAAAGTACATCTACAAGTCTTACAAAGCACTAACAAAAACCAAAAACTCATTACTTACCTCACATTTTCCAAACTTACCCGACGTCCACTATCGATTATAAGCAAAGTTATTTTATAAACGTGCTTAGGGTCAAAGAAAGTAATCAGATAGACCCCCTTCGCTTGAGCCCTTATGTTTATCAATGTAACGATCAACCATGATTGCAAACATAAATGAGAAAAGTGACAAATTTCAAATACATGGTGGCCCAGGCCTAAAACAATTTTGTACATAAATATACACGCACTGAAGGGCTGAGCCATGTTTTAACCACAGTACAACTAAAGATAAAAATCATTTTTTCACCTCCTAATAACTTCATCTACAAAGGATCCATGGTTTTGTTTTACCCAGTTACTTCCCAACAAAAACGTTACTTAAAATATGAATTTCTACGATTTAAACGGAATCCTTCACGGCAATAAAGGATTCTGAAAAGAATATCCCTCCCCCTAAATAGCCTCCCATCCTCACTGCCACTCTCGTAGTCGGTATTAATTTAAAGGCTCCCAAGTTTTTTTTTATCTCTAGTTTCCTGCGATTCAACTACCCTTTTAATCCCCGCAGACCCAGATAAAACCGTTACCCAAAGAAACAATCGGAAAACATAAAATGCTTTCTTCACAATTTGCCTCGCGTCAACAGCGGCCCAACGCCCTAGGTCGTAATACCTCGTCTTAAACCGCGCCAGCAAGCCCTGGAGACCCCCCCGCCCGCCCGCTCTTCTGTGTGGCTTCCGAACGCAATGGCGCCATTTCATCGAGGGGAAGGCAGAGCGCCTTTAATGAGGTGCGCAGGACTCTAAAGATCCAAGCTCACAAAACACTGCAAATCCACCTCGAAACGGTATGAAAACAGCCCGAGAAGAAAGAAAAATAGTTAACCACGTCTATGCTTTGATAAAGAAATCAAACTAGTAGAATTTACAGAGTTAAAAGAGAAACGCTGCGAGAGAGGAGAGACATGAAAATGGCGGCCGCCAAATCCGGTTCCCGGGAGAGAGGGGGAGGGGAAGCTCCGCGGACTCGCTCACGGGGACCCGATGCCCGCCGAAACGCTCAACGCGGAGACGCCGGGGCCCCCAAATCAGCGTGCTTTAGAAAGGGAAGAAGAATTGCCGCCTCCGCGCCCCACTTTGACTAAAGCGGGGCTGCGTCCGCCATGTGGAAGTTCCCTTCCCCCACCCGCAGTACAGGGAAATGGCGCCGGGAGGCTGAGGGTGGGGAAGGAAGGTGTTTGTACAGTCAAGCCTCTGCTATCGACCCTCTTAAAGATATCTCCAGACCAACCGCTACTAAGGCGGCCCGATTTCCTGCCGTTCTCCCACCGAGGCAGCTGGCCGACTTCCACTGAGGCGCCAACGGCCTCACCATGCCCTTTCCAATAACTCATTGATTTCAAACCCGTTACCTCCATCGCGGACTCAGTCGCTTCAGCCCGATTTCCCGCAGCCGAGCGAGATGAGAGAGATCTCCGCGGACGAACACGAACCGGACTCGTCCTGGCGCTGTAGTGAGAACTGCCACTGGTCGAGAAACAACACCCCTAGGAGCACCTCCACCCGGGACCCGGCGCTGCTGCTACTGCCGCTAGAGCCGCTGCCGCCGCTTTTCTAGAACCTTCCCCCCGACCAACGCGTCTTCCTTACGTCAGGCCGTTGCGTAAACGTCCTAACCGCCGCCAATGGCGGGAACGCTCTACACCCTCCTTACGCCAAGTACGTATCCCTCCCCCACTTGAGGCCAATGACAGTGCTTGACGTCACTTGCGTAAATGGGATTAGTGAATTGCGGAAGGCTCGTGTCTTGCGTTTTACTTCCTTTCTGAATTAGGTACAGCCCCCGCCCTAGCGCAGGGCAGGTGAGAAACGGTCGCGCAGTTTGAAATAAACGCTGTTGGGAGGAGCTTAATCCGCAGCCCGGAGGTCCAGCCCCCTCAACCCGGGAGGTGGTCCTTGAAGCTACGCCTTTGACAATTCTCTTAGTTCTCCCGCCATAAAAATCTGTCGCCTTCCCCCTTCGTTTTCCCTCCCCAGCAGAAGACTAACTCAGCCCCTTCCGGAAACACCCAAAGCGGCTTCTAGTTAACAAATTATTGTCTACGCTGCACCAACCTAACCCTGGCCTTTGGGACTGACCCTTCAGGGTCGAGAGAGGTGTTTCCAGCGAGTGACCCGAAAGGGGAACTCGTTTTTAGCTCCCAATTCCCCCTTCCCCTAGCATTTAAAGGATCCCAACCCCAGGGGCGAGGAAGTGGGCGGAGTCGGGTTTGGGCGCCAGCCACGCTGCTGCGAAGCAGGAAAGCATCCGCCGAGAAGACTCTCGTCACCGTCCTCGCCCCTCCTTTCCGCTCCCTCCCCTCGGGGGACCACCAGGCGCCACGCCGCGAACGGTAAGTGCCGCAGTCGCCGCCTCCCTTCCCCCCTCGGGCTCCAGGT